CGGGCTGGGACTGGTTCTCCGTGCGACGTACGCCGAAGCGCATCCGCCAGGAGTCACAGCGTGGCGCCGCCCTTCTGCGACCTGGACCTCACACGCTGCTGCTGGTTCTCCCTGTGGTCTCCTCCCTCACCGCCAGGAAGAGAAGAACCCTTCTGGCCCACATTGAGACTCTTTTTGGCGACACCGCCTGCCTCCACACTATGGTACTGTTCAGCTGCGGGGACTGGCTGGGCCGAACGCCCATTGAGGAGCACATACTCAGAGGGGGCCGGGAGCTCCAAAGACTTCTTGAGTACTGTGGAAACTATTACCACGTCTTGGACAGTAAGACCCCTGGCAAGGACAGGAGCATCTCAAACCTCCTGGATAGGATTGAGGAGATGATCAGGGAAAACGGAGACAAGGCCTTCCTCCCTGTGCAGACCGAATGGTGTAAGTCCTGCAATTTTAACTCCGCTTTGACACATACTTGACAATCCGTAGGTACACCTACGTAATCTCATCTCATCCAATATAAGAACTACATCAAGAATCCAACAATAGACCAAGTTCACCCCAGTTGGGTTGTCGCCCAAATCTATCCAGAAGATGTCATTGGGCTACTTTGTGGTCATTGTGGACTGGCTGCTAAGATCACTTGCTGGGCCGCGCCCCTTAAAGGCACACATCCAGACACATGATTTTTGCTTCAATTAGACTTTTATAAAAATCGATTTATTTCTCATATTCCATTTTATTATGTTTATTGGCTTTCTATATTCAAAGTTTTTTTTTTTTTGTGGTGCTGCAACGGATTAATGGCATTTGTATTCATTTCAATGGGGAGGTTTGAGTTGATATACTCAAAAATAAATTGACTCAAGGGACCACTGTTCCAAAATATACCAATACCATACACGAGTAAGCTAAAAGGATTCCAAACATTTCAGTGTGATGCAGTGCAGTTGTACACCACTACAAATGACAACTAATAACATAAAGTTATTTTTTTTTTTTTGTGGTGCTGCAACGGATTAATGGCATTTGTATTCATTTCAATGGGGAGGTTTGAGTTGATATACTCAAAAATAAATTGACTCAAGGGACCACTGTTCCAAAATATACCAATACCATACACGAGTAAGCTAAAAGGATTCCAAACATTTCAGTGTGATGCAGTGCAGTTGTACACCACTACAAATGACAACTAATAACATAAAGTTAACCGACTGTCATTTGTAACGACACAATGTCTGATGCAGCTCTGATTCGAGATGACTGTCCATGGAAAGCTCGCTGACACTTTAGTGCATGAGACTGCGTGGCGCTGTTGCCTTGTCATCAACATTGTCTAATTTAATTGTCTTGTATTTGACAGTGAGTGAGGAGAGCTCTTACTCATCCGACAACACCGAGCCAGAGGACGACTGTCGAGGGTGCCAGCTGCAGTGATGAAAGTGAAAGCCAAGAGCTCCTGTGTGCGTGTTCTGTTCTTTTGGGTGTCCACTAGGACCAAACCGAACCTCATCAACCTTTAGCCTCATCTAGATAGCCATTCTGGATCTTTTAGGAAATAATGTTGGACGGCGATCACTTTTGAGGACTGTTGCAGAGGAAGTGTTTCATGAATATATTTACCGAAGGAGGTGCCGCGGCAAAGTCCTCGCTGTAACCCTGCAGAATGTTCCACTGTCATGATTTAAAGTTGAAGAGTTGAGTTGAGCGATGAGGCCACCGAGCACATCAGAAGTCTAATCCATTTCACTCACGAAGGAATTTGTCCAAGATGACATTATCTGGAGAAGGCAGCTTGTTTTCTTTCATGTCTGCTAAATGATTAACTGGAAGGAATGCTTCCTTCTGTTACCGCACCTTTCATTTTGAAAAGAGCGTCGACGCTCTTATCTCGTGCTCTTTGATTCCATCGAATCAAAGGCCTCGTAAGGGAAATGCTTCTGTAAGAAAAGAACCCATTGAACACCGGATCAAAATGCAGTTTACTGTGCCGGATGATGATAGATGAGAAAACTGCGAGTGCACTCGACAAGGTTTGCTCACTCACTTCAGCACGCCTTTGCACATGGAAGCAGATGAGAACTGTGAGTCCCCAGTGATATTAAAATTGTCAAAATGCTTCCTTCATTAATTTTTGATTCGTTTCTGCTCAGTGAGTCAGGGTTGAAGTAGTCTCTCTCTTTCTCTCTCTCTCTCTTTCTCTCTCGTAAAATCTGGCACATTCACAGCAAAGCTGATTGAAATGCTGCAGGCAGTGGTCACATCAAATCAAAAAGCGCTGCTTTGCAGCAACTACAGGAGAGTCTGTGTGCTTGGGGCTCAGTTATTTACTTTCATTCTTTTGTGCCCGCAGATCATGAGAATGGATTAAATCAATGGAATCATAAAATAGTCTCATCTACGGTGGTTCCCATGCTCAAGAGGGACACAAACAGGAGCAGCCGGCTGTGTAGGAAGTAACGTTGGGAGCAGCCCAAGCTTGGCTGGCTCTGCTTTATCGTTTGCGTGTGCTAATGCGTCCAGTGCGTTTGTTGACGAGTTAAAAGTGCACTCCGTGTGCCTCAGCATCAAAGCGTGATAGTGGGAGTACAGCCTTGCTGCAGGGCTGTTTCCTAGAATATGTCAAGCTTTTGCATGCTACAGAAACCACATAACCTCGTGAATCACTGGAGCTCAAAAATAGGGCTACCAAGTCATTTTTTTCTACGTCAAGAATAAATCTGCTATATAAACACACCAGATATATATCCATATGAGGCATGTTAGAGCACTGCATGCAGATAAATGAGTTTCTTGAGATTTTATGGCAAACCTCACTTCCTTCCTTCCACCTTTGAAACCTGCTTGATAACACCCATGGGAGTATCTGGTCTGATTTGGCGCCCCCCTTGTACTTTTTACAGCTGCAAGCAAAAATAAGAAACACAGGAATTTTTGCTTTGGTGACCATGCTTCTTCTAAATCATGTAGCCAACTGCAGCACTTACAAGCATGACATAACAGTTTGCTATGTGGATGTTTCAATCGTTCGTTTGAATCAGAACTTTCCCACTGTGGCTTTGTTGTATACGCAGTGTAATATTTACAGTGTAAAGTATGTCCTAATGTCGCTTTGAAGTGAGGCATTTTGCACTATGTAAGTTGTGCCACTTCACTGTAGCTCAAAGTGATGTTACTTGCTGTGTCATTCTTCGTAACGGCGGTGATCACACCATCAGCACTTTGTTCATTGTCATACAATAAAAGAGACAGATATATTGTAGTGTGTGTCTGGCTTTCGTTTTATTGTGTGGATTTGTTTTTAATGTGGATAAGGAGGAATGCTATGAAACGGCCATGGGACTCGACAGGGATGTAAACACAAACGAAGCCTAAACTTCGCCGGAACTGGCGCTATGGTGACATCTTGTGTTTAAAATAAAATTAAAAAAATGTAGATGTTTGAAGTAACCACGGATGCTATATCATGGTCACCTTCGCCATTTACTCGAGCAAGGAGGAACTGCTCTTCTTGCATGTGTTGCTCATTGCGGGAGGAGATTGCACATATCCCAATGAAATCGTCCTGGAGCGACTTTTCACTATGTTGCAACATTTCCATAGTTTGTTCCCTTTCATTTTAATAAAAAAAGTGTGATTTCTTTTTTCAAATCAGGAAAAGAAAATTACTTATTATTGGATTATGCTATTTTGCTTTTGCTAATGGTCCTGGTCAATGAACAATTTTCCAATTACATATCGTTTGAATGCTTTTTTTTCCCAAAGAGTTCTATGGGTATGATGTGTTTCATGACTTACTATTCATCCCACTGGATTGCATTTGGAGCAGTCTCCTTTTCAAGGATGACCTTCACCCAATAATCAAGGTAGTTTGGAGTTAAAAGGATGACAGCCATTTGTCGTTCACGTAGTTCGGCACCATCTTGGTTGGCATTACACCACTGTTTCTCAAATAGTGGGGCGCGAGAATCTGTCAAGGGGGACGCGTTTGACCTCGGCTTTTTAATTTATATATTTTTACTGTCCGAGAATTAAGTGCAATTGCACCTTAACTACAGTCGGGGGCAGTGACGCTCATTGGCAGTGTGCGCAGGGTGCATTCGCTCGGTGTTTTGTTTGCACTGAGCATGCGTGTTTTGCACACGGCACAGAGTATGAGTATACACGAAGTCGACAGGCGGGGAGAGACTGAGGGAAGAGACAAACGCAAGTATCCCGAAATCTAAGACGAAGCGTATGTAGCGCTTGGCTTCACTGTGACTACGGTGGGAGAAGAAAGACCCGTGTCTAATTACTATGTCTAAAAATGTTGGCAGCAGACAGCATGAAGCCAAATAAATTAAGGCGTCACTGAAAGACATTAAACAAGACAAAAAAAAGCCCCCAAAAAAACTACCATGTATACTAAGGCGTTTTTAGCCGAAAAAAACGACCATGTATAGTAAGGCGTTTTTAGTTGAAAAAAAAAACGACGGTTTTTAGCCGAAAAAAAACGAACATGTATAGTAAGGCGTTTTTAGCCGAAAAAAAGACCATGTATAGTAAGGCGTTTTTAGCAGAAAAAACCGACCATATATACGTAAGGCGATTTTAGCCGAAAAAACCGACCATATATACGTAAGGCGTTTTTAGCCGAAAAGAACAACCATGAAAAGTAAGGCGTTTTTAGTCGAAAAAAACGACCATGTATAGTAAGGCGTTTTTAGCCCAAAAAAACGACCATGTACAGGAAGGTGTTTTTAGCCGAAAAAAACGAACATGTATAGTAAGGCGTTTTTAGCCAAAAAAAACGACCATGTATCGTATGGCGTTTGAGCCGAAAAAAACGACCATGTATAGTAAGGCATTTTGAGCCGAAAAAAACGACCATGTATAGTAAGGCCTTTTTAGCCTAAAAAAACGCCTTACGATACATGGTCGTTGTTTTCAGCTAAAAACGGTCGTTTTTTTCGACTAAATAGGCTTTACTATACAGAGTCGTTTTTTCGGCTTTCGGCTAAAAATGCCTGACTATACAAGGTCGTTTTTTGGGCTAAAAACACCTTACTATAAGTGGTCGTTTTTTTTTTACTAAAAACGCCTTACTATACATGGTCGTTTTTTTCGGCTAAAAACGGTCGTTTTTTTTTCGACTAAATAGGCTTTACTATACATGGTCGTTTTTTGGGCTAAAAACACCTTACTATACATGATCGTTTTTTTCGGCTAAAAACGCCATACGATACATGGTCGTTTTTTTCGGCTAAAAACACCTTCCTATACATGGTCGTTTTTTTGGGCTAAAAACGCCTTACTATACATGGTCGTTTTTTTTCAGCTAAAAACACCTTATTATATGTGGTCGGTTTTTTTGGCTAAAAACGCCTTACTATACTATGTCGTTTTTTTCGGCTAAAAACACCTTACTATACTATGTCG